CGTATCCTGGACTGCATCAAAAGCAGTGTGGCCAGCAGGTTGAGGGAGGTGATTCTACCCCTCTGCTCTGTTCTCGTGAGACCCCACCTGGAGTACTGCATCCAGTTCTGGGGCCCTGTCAGAGACCGAAATGGTTAATGATTTATGCATTCTAGGAGACTTTTGCAGGCTTTTGACTTTTTCTCGGATGGACAGTTGGGCCTGTCCCTCCCTCCAGTGAAGAGCCCAGCTTGCAGGCTTTTGACTGTTGCATTGTACCTCTGATGGGCAATTGAAGGTGTCAGGCCCTGAAGCGGCAGGACCTCTGATGGCCCATAGGAGCCCATCCCCCCCTCTGCCAGTCTTGAAGGCGGGAACCAGACCAGACAAAAAAGCTCTGCGCAGGCCCAAGGAGAGGTTGGAGGCTCGAGGCATGGCCTGTGACACTGACCATGGATATAATAACTCATAACTTCTTGGAGCGTGGGGGCTTCCCTCCTTCACCCCCAGCAGATCAAGGCCACCACTTCAACTGACAGACATGGAAGCTGCAACTACTAAGTTTCATCGCTGGACCCTGTGGGCGGTGACTATATACATCTGTCCACTCTCAGCTTTTCTTTCCCTTACTCTCCCTTACTCTTATCTTGCCTTTCTCTCCCCTATGCATTTTCTCCCCCCCCCAAAGGTTATCTCTATGCCACATTGTTATATGACAACACCCAAACTGCTAGCATGCCTGTTGATACAGAATTGTTAAAATAAATCTTACCAGTATATGTTTTCAGACACCGATTATTCAGTGTCGTTTCACTCTAATGCACCTCAAGGGAATTATTGATAAAAACCTGGGTTACCCCCCTCCCTTTTTCTGGGGCGGGTTGTAACAGGCCCCCAGCACAGGAAGGACATTAACCTGTTGGATCAAGTCCAGAGGAGGGCCGTGAAGATGATGAGAGGGATAGAACACCTCTTCTATGAGGAAAGACCGAGAGAATTGGGATTGTTCAGCCTGGAAAAAAAAAGGCTCCAAGGAGACCTTATAGCAACCTTCCACTATGTAAAGGGGCCTACAAGAACACTGGAGAATGTAAAGGGGCCTACAAGAACACTGGAGAGGGACTTTTTACAAGGGCATATAGTGACAGGACAGGTAATGGCTTTAAACTGAAGGAGGGTAGATTTAAATTAGATATTAAAAAGAAATTCTTTGCTGTGAGGGTGATGAGGCACTGGAACAGGCTGCCCAGAGAAGTTGTGGATGCCTCATCCCTGGAAGTGTTTAAGGCCAGGTTGGATGGGGCACCTGGTCTAGTGGAAGGTGTCCCTCCCTCTGGCAGGAGGTTGGAACTGGATATCTTTAAGATCCCTTCTAAGTCAAACCATTCTAATATTCCATGATTCTATGAACTTCACTTTTATTAGTGTCATCTTCCTTGTATAGAAGAACCCTACTTACATATACGTTCCCTATCTTAATTAACTACATTTTATCATCCATTAACATTTGGCAGTGAATTGTAGATAAAGATCACAAGTTGCACTGATGCTATTAGGCATCTACATTATCAAGACTATTATTTTTCAGTCCCATTCGGGACCATATGAAAATGGATTTTTGTAATAAGTTTCGTTTCAGTAATGTTTTATTGATGGTATTCTTGGGAAACCAAAGTCCTCACTAGAATATGTGACAAAAGAATGTGCTTCTTTCAGGAACCAGCTGGGTTGTCACCCTGTAATAGAGTGAATCAAGGGAAATGGGATACCTGAAAAATGGAGGGCTTTGAAGACACATGGCAACTGGCAAGTGAGGACAAGGCTGGTGAAATTTGATCGTACACAACCTTGGAGCACATCAGAGTGGTTTCAAATGTAGTTTAGCCTTTTATTCCTTGTCTGCTATGCCCTTTGTGGAGAGGGCAAGACATTTGCAAACACACCTTACAAGTGACACAAGTATTTTTCATCAGAAAAAATATATTCTGAAACAAGCTTAGATCAGCACAGAACACAAGCACATACTATCAAAAACATCAAAGTATTTTTTTAACTCTACACAGTACATTAGGACTTGAGCTAAAATATTGGACGCAGTCCACACTGTCCAATTCTCGATGCTACACATTAAAAATCCCATAATAATATGGAGTAGACCAAGTGGCAAATCTGTAAGAGAGCAACAAAAAATTAGATGTCTAGAAAACATGATGTACAAAGAAAGACTGAGGGGACTATTCTAATTTAGCCAAAAGATGATGGCTAATGGGCATAAATGTATCTCCATAAAAACGGTGGACAGAACAGGGGAGATCAATCACAGGAAGGGAAAATTAAATTACATAATGTAAACACTTACTAAGGATAAAGATGACAACACACTAGAACAGGCTTGGGGGAATTTATGAAGTGTCCATCCTTTTGGAGGTTCTTAGGAACAGGCAAAACAAACATCAACACAGACTGTTATATGTACTATTGATTGTATCCTCAGATAGAAGAAAGGATGGATGAAACAAAACGCTCCTAAATGGAAAAAAACCCATGGAAGTTGTCACCTCAGGGTATATTCCCACCAGAATCTATAGTTCGTTTGTCTTTGGAAAACCTTTAAAAGTCTTGTTCATAGAAAAAGGAAACATTCACAGCCTATATAAAGTAACAAACACAAATGCTACAAAAGCTTTCTATGAGATTCAGCAGCTCTTCAGCTTGCAACTTCAAGTAAGAAATATACTTTGAAAATCACTATTCTTCATTTTACACATGCTATCAGCCTGTGGGAAAAATGGCTGGAAAACAGGCTTTTTGACAAAAAAATATTTGGTGTCAGATAACAGTCAAGAGACATGGGACATTTCCCTAGTAACAGCATACAAAGATCTAAAAAGTAGTGCCTGATGCTACAGAGCCAGGATAACTGCCAATCTATCTGCAAGCAACTAGAACAGCAATGGTTGCAAAAACAAGATAATATAGAAAAGCTCCACCGGCAGCTGACAGAAGCCATTGCTAATTGATTGCTGCAGTTCACAAAAACATGGGAGCAGTCAGTCAGTTAAAAAAAGAAAAGCTCTCCCCAGGGGGAAAAAAAAAAAACAAAAAAATTTGTGCAAAGAGAAAACCACATCAAGGAATCCGAAAACTCCAACTTGAGATAAAAATAGAGAAAGGATAAATTCACAGAATAGGGATACAAGCAGAGATAAAGAGCATTTGGATCTGAAGGAGGTAAAAGTTTCCTCAGATACATAAAAACCATGAATAAAGATATAAAAATTGCTACCAACCAAAACAAAACCCAGAAAAATGAAATAGAAAGGTGTGTTCTTAGGGCTGCTAAAAAGGAAGAGGGAAACTAACCTACTTTACGAAGTGCTGAGCAAGCAGTACTAGATTTATCCAAGCGTGATCATGTTCACAGGCCCCCTAGACCTTACAAGGTCTAGGAAGTTCTGGAAGAGGAAATAAAATGTAGCGTAGACTAACAAGGAGAAACAGGTTGGTTTGCTATAGTAATGAGTGCCTCCACTGAGGAAGCAAAGCCAAACCCCATAGAAAGAAGAACCACGAGGATTGATTCAACAGCCAACCCTAAGGCACAAAGTTCTATACTCAATCTTTTTTTTTTTTTAGCCTGAAATAGATTTTGTCTTTCTTTTCCTTTATTATGCCCTTTTCCTTCTTTCCTTCCTGAGTAATCCCTAAGTCAGAGAGCACAAGAGCTAAAGAAAGAAAAGAACAAGAGGACAGTTAAAAATCTGTCTACCTAGATAATCTGTCATGTTAGTTAGTATAAGAGCATACCTTGTAAACATTTTGAAATACTATAATGTCATTGCTTCCTTTATTTATTGCCATAAGAAGGAAAAACCAGTATTAATCCAATTCTCACTGCCCAACTTCACCTTGTGTTTGAAACATACAGCACTTTTAGAACTCAATCCTGCAAATGGCCAGAATTAGTAACTATCCTAGAATTTTGGAGTACTTGATCTTAGATTTCATATAAAACTTAAATATCTGCCAGATTTATGAGAGTGACTAGTCCCACCTTCTACAGTGGATCTAGTTGCTTAAACATTAATAACCCAACAATGAATATGAAAAGCTGTGGATTACGATGACATGGAATTTATTTGATTCAATGCTGACTGCTCATTTTATGTTTTTCAATGATATGGTTCAATCACAGTAATAAGATTACCAGATTAACAGGCAAAATTATGCAGATTTGAAAAATAAATACAGAAGAGTTCTGAAATTCACATCCCCTTAAGTATGCTAAAAATATATTAATGGCATCAAAGCACCTAAATCTTTGGAATTTCATCAGTCTCAGAGTATTTATTAGGCTCTCATCACACTGGACAAGGCAGAAAAAACAAATGTCGTGGCATTTGTACATTTGGTTCATTCACCATTTTTCCAGCCAAAACATGGCACCTGAATGAAAGCAAAATTAACCCCACAAAGACTGTGTAGAGCATTCTTGGTGTACAAAGGACAGTTGTAACATGGACTGATTCTTCAACTAACTTAATTTACAATATTTTTTTAAATAGACTAAAATTATATTGTCTCCACTATAGACTGAAACTATGTTAAACTATATAAAACTATGTTATTATAAAGCAAATGGATATTACACTTCTAAAACTCAAAAGTCTATTAACACTGATGGTAAATTATATATTTTAATATGTAAGCTGATTTTAAAAATAGTAAAATTATTTATAAAGTAATAAAAGGTCAAAGCTCATTTTACAACACGGATATTTAAAACAGAAAACTGCAATATACTATAACCAAATTGCCTTAGGGTAATTCTCCTTTTTTCATGGAAATTTTTATTAAATAATCCAATACCTTTAAAACTGAAGCTAACAAAAAGATTTCAACATTTGACTTCTGAATTTAAAAAAACTTCTCATTACAGATATTGCAAAAGCCAAAGTAGCAGGTATCTATCATCAAGTTCAAATAGGTACTTGTTTTTTTCTTTAAAAAAAAATACTTACACATCCACAAATAGTACATAATCTTTACTGTCTTCTGAAATTCTACAGGAATGTCTACAGAAAAGTCCTGGTAGAAACATGGACCCACTGGAAAATTCTGAGGAAGAGGTGGCCAGTTATTTTTTCTACCTGCAAATCAGAAAGAAAAAAAAAGGAAAAAAGGTGCTCTATAAGACAGTTTTAATCTCTGTATACTAGAAAGAGAGATGCATTTGGAGTTGTTCAAATTGTTTTATGCATGTTTCACAAGTGTATAGATAATTTGGGCTACCAAAACCCCAAGGTTTTATTAGCAATCCTCACACAACACTAAAAATAAACTTCAGAAATAAAATACAATGAAGTGCAGACAGATCAAGGAAAGTACAATATTTTATCTATGTAAAAGACTAAGTAGGCATCTGACATTTCCTATAAAGTAATGAGAAAAGAGAATTCTTCACAAAATTTCACAGAGTTACTTGACTTTTAAATACACATTTCCCTAAGTCCCACCATACTCTCATACTTTGTAGAACACAAAGACTGGGAACTGAAAAACATTCTCCATTCTCAGAATCCTGATATTTGTAATACCTGGATATCTCTAACATTTGGAACCAGTTCCTAATTCAGTTTATAGTCAAAGCTTTACCTAAAAGCTCATAAGCCTGAAGAAAGGTAGTTATTTAAATGTTGTAAACTACTTTTTTTGTTACAGAAGATGCCCTACAGCATCAATATATTTTGATTGTGTGACAGAATGAGGATACCACAAAGGACAACACAGTATCAGTTGCTTGTATTTCCTGTATGCTCACAGACTAGAGTATACATTCTATGGAACACAAGTCAATACAAGCATAGACTCAAAGATTCAACTGAGATAACGACAAAAAACCTTTACCATAGAATTTCAAATTCTGGATGCAAGAGATACATTAATCACCATATTCAAAAAGTGGAACTGAATTAGAGACTAACCTAAAGGAAACTTTATTTGAGATTCTGACAAGGTTTTGCTTGCAATTGCTCTCTTCAACCATATCTTTACTAGCAGTTCATCTGTATTGGGTCTTGCTGAGATGGAGTTTATTTTCCCATAGCAGCCCTCACAGTGCTGTGCTTTGCATTGATAGCTAGAAAGGTGTTGATAACACACCAGTGTTTTGGCTACTGCTGAGCAGTGCTGGCACAGCATCAGCACTGTCTCTCCAACATTCCCCCCATCAAGGGGCTGGGGGTGGGCAAGATCCTGGGAGGGGACACAAGTAGGCCAGCTGACCCAAATTAACTAAAGGGATATTCCATACCATATGACGTCAGCTCAGATATAAAAGCCAAGAAAAGGAGGAGGAAGAGGGGGGGCATTCATTATTTACAATGTTTGCCTTCCGGAGCAACCGCTACATGTTCTGAAGCCCTGCTTCCCAGGAAGTGGCTGAATATCGCTTGTTGATGGGAAGTAGAGAATAAACCTCTTTTTTTTGTCTTTGCTTGTGCATGTGTAAGTGCATGCGCAAACTTTCACTTTTGCTTAGTAAACTGCCTTATCTCGACCTATGAGTAGTTTTCAATCTTATTATCTCTCCCTTGTCCAACTGGGAAGGAGAGCAACAGAGTGGCTTGGTGGCCACCTGGCATCTAGCCAAGGTCAACCCACCACATAAGAACAGAAAACTTGCAAAGATTACACACTTGCATTATTTCTTTTGCCATTCAGACAAGATGAAGCTGACAGTTCTGTCCAAAAAGGTCCAAGGTACTAATTATCTGTTAAATTTTCTGCCTCTTCCACTGAACATTTTTTATCAAGTCTTTTAGAACAGGGGATTTACAGAGGGAGCATACAGAAGGCAACCAAGCAATATTCCCATCCATATTAAAAACTTCTTTGGGATTTCTTATATGAAACATCTGATAATAAGGCAGATCTCCATTCTGCAGTATATGGTTACTTCTTTCAGGACCGATAGTTTCAAGACGGTCACAGAAAAAATAAGATATAATAGTTCAAGTTTTTAGTTAAGAACATTATCTGATGTGTTTTCCCACCCCTGTGGCATAAGTTTCAAAATTTTCAACTAAAACTGAAAGACAGATTGATGAGTTGGTCTAAGATCAAAAATCAAGTGGTATTTTTCTAAATACACTTTGGATATTCATATTCCAAGACTGTATCTTGATAAGCAAAAATCTACCTCAGAGTTATTTCATTCCACACAAGTTACCATCTCAAGGTCAATTAACATAACTTCAATGGCATACCTACACTATGAATGCAGTTACCCCCAAACTAGCTTCATGCAAGCCCAGAAAGGGATTTTCAGGCATGCCCAAATGAGCTTGCTGAAATAGGAAGCAGCACACATTAATAAGCTCAAGTGCAATACTGCACAGAACCTGAAAAGAGTGAAGACATCATAGAATGGTTTGGATTGGAAGGGACCTTAAGTGTCATCTAGTTCCAACGCCCCTGCCATGGGCCCCTTCCACTAGACCAGGTTGGTCAAAGCCCCTTCCAACCTGACCTTGAATGTTTCCAGGGATGGGGCATCTACAACTTCTCTGGGCAACCTGTTCCAGTGCCTCACCACCCTTATAGTAAAGAACTCCAATCTAAACCTACTCTGCTTCAGTTTAAAACCATTCCCCCTCGTCCTATCACTAAATGCCCTTGTAAAAAGTCCCTCTCCAGCTTTCTTGTAGTTCCCCCTTTAGGTACTGGAAGGCTGCTATAAGATCTCCATGGACCTTTCTCTTCCCCAGGTTGAACAACCCCAGCTCTCTCAGCCTGTCTTCATAGGAGAGGTGCTCCAGCCCTCTGAGCATTTTGGTGGCCCTCCTCTGGAGTTGCTCCAAGAGGTCCCTTTCCTTCTTATGTTTGGGGGCCCCAGAGCAGGATGCAGTACTCCAGGTGGGGTCTCACAAGAGTGGAGTAGAGGGGAAGAATAATATCCCTTGACTTGCTGCTGAGCAGACATACCAGCTTGAAAATCTTTGCATTTTAGTCAATTGCATATGACAACAGTGTCCTAAATGTGCAGCCAGCATCCTAAATTGAATGCAAATAGCTAAAGTACTGTTGCAAAAGATATTGTCCTCCAATCAAAACATCTCTAAAAGGTTTCCAAAGGAGTTCAAACGAGTGTGCCAAAGAAAAAAAATCAGAAGGAAAGGAATATTCAAGCTTTAAGAGCTCTCACTTCTCTATTCAGCCTACCCAAAGAATCCTTTAGATTCTTCGTGGACTCTTCAAACACTTGGATGTGAACAACTTGCCATGGTTTAGAAATGGTATTCCCCAATTTAGTGCTCCCTCCAAAACCACACTGGCATGCACTTCCCCTCCCCCTCCAGTTGGAAACACAAAAGGCAAAGATAACAGGTTGAGATAAGAACAATTTACTGGAAACAACGAGATAAGAAAATGAACAATAACAACAATATTAATAACAAAAGGTATAAGACAAAGAAACTATTTACACGGAAAGTCCGCAACAATACTGACTGTTTCATCCGCCATACTTTCTCCCCCCAGAAGGAACACCCTTCTTCTCGGAAGCAAGAGAGAGACCCTTTCCCCCACCCCTGGCAAATGATTTAAGGTGGTATCGAAAAACCTCCTAGACATGCCCACAGCCACGCCACTTCAGCTACTACAAAAAAAAATTAGCTCTCTCCTGGTCGAAACAAGGACACAACTGCAAATTAATAACACAGTAAATACCCATTTTTTAAATATCCTGAAACATGCATGCAGTATCAGAGTTATGTTCCGTATGATATAGATGAACAAAACTGTACCCGAAGCCTGAAAGAGACAAGTAATCAATCCAGACCATCAATAAGTTAGTAAAATTAGATGAGGAGCAATATATACAGAAGAAAATTAAAAAAAAATCCAAAACCACAAAAAATAATTATCTAGGAGAAGAGGTACAGAGATTAAATAAAGACATTGATAAGAATAAATACTGAGAAAATAAAAATGGTTTAATGTAGGGACACTATCATGATTCTTTTCCTTAGAAGAATTCCTTATTCCCAGATCCTAACATATGACTGGCATAAAGTTCCTAAGAATTTGAATTACTAAGTGATCATGCAATCTGGAATTGTACTGCTGTACATTCTAATAACCACAGGAGCAAAAAAATCCCAGCACATGTGGAAATACAACAGTCAGAAAAGATCACACAAAGTCAACGTAGCATAGTCTTTTGTTTTGTTGGGGTTTTTTAACTTCAGTCTAAAGTTTTTCCCATAGATATAACAAAGTATCTTCATTTAAGAGGATGTAAATCTCATATGTGAAATTGCAGTATGAAAACTGATAGTTACTTACAGTTTGTGGCAAAATGAGATACAGATCTTGACTATGGGTTCTAAAGCAACATACGAATAATTAATAAAATAGTAATAATAAAGTAAATATTTCTGCTATTTGCATAGAATACTGTGTCTGTAACATAGCAAAAAGATCAGAAAATGTTTCAAAATGGTAAAGTTCTCCTACAACTATAAATACTGACAGAAGAGAAATCAAAGGTGTTACTTATGAAGTTACTTTTACTTCTCAAACTGCTCCATTTCTATTCAATACTATTACTTGGATATTAACCTAGAATAAAAATAGCTTATAGCAGACAGTAACCTGTAACATAGGCCTCATTTAAAATTTCTGCTGTGAAAATCTGGACAGGTCAGTTTTTATTCACTGTATGCATTTCTCCAAAGGAGATAAATTTTCTTTTCCTGAAGAGGTTATAAAAAGTCTTTTGATCTGTTTCACAGTAACACTGTAAAACTAAAACAGTTTCTAAGAAAAAAGTGAAATTTCTGTAATTTAATAAAGCATTTTTTATGCATACCCCCTTGCTGATTGACACTCTGCATTTCCCTTTCTTTGCGATCTAGTTCAGCTGCTTTTCTTTCCAGTTCTTCTTGACGCTTTAGCAGTTCTGCCTGGGCCAAGGCACGCTCCTGAATAAAATAAGCATCATTAGATATTGATTAAAAAATACAAACAGAAAATAAATATTCCAAGTCTATTTTCCAAAATTAAGCATCTCCAGTTATGAAGACTGAGCTAATATTACACAAATTCATGCAGTAACTGATTACTTAAAGGCAGTATTCATTTTCATAAATCATCAGGAAAACAATGTTTATTTATGAAATACACTACTCCAGAAGTGTATTTATTATAGTTGAAAGGCACCTAGTGCCTGAAAGTTATAGACAAACCTTTGAAATTTGTGTGTAAGTAGGTGGTTCTTCTGTTGGTTTCATTATTGCTGGCTGGGTACTGGATACATTAGGCATTTTCACATTTCCTAAGGGAGGCTAAGAAAACAAGAGACATTTATGGGGAAACAATCTCCTAATAAACATCTTTTCATTAACTCTATAAGAACTAATCCAGTTGTTTTAAAGGAACTATTACTGATAAACTGAACATCTGATATGCTGCACGCAATATTTATAACTTTTAGGTTATAATATATATTCTGTGGTGCAGCATTCCACTTGTTTGTTTTTACTCTGCACTATTTGCCATAAACACACATGGAATTTTATGGATCAATAAAAAGTAAAAAGAATTTTAATTTTTTTCAGACATGAATATGAATAAGGACAGTTATTATTTAAGACAATGGCAGGATTTAACAGAGATCTGTTCCTATTCTCAATCATGATGTCATTTATTAGTAATGTCTTCCAGAGCTTTCTACTTAACAAAGGTTAACCAGAGAAGCAATGTACTGTATTCAAAAAGGGCAAGAAGGAGGACCCAGATGTAACACTCTGGCCCTGGAGCTGCAAACTCAAGGGCTTGGCCAGGAACTTTACTTTAAAATATATATATAAGGTTCTTTAATACCTTGAGATAGCGTTGTGATGGACTGAAATGTTGGTAATGTCTTAAACATTGTCAAAATCATAGAATGACTTTTTGTCAAACTGCACGGAAGCAACTGCCTGTCTGCAACCACTGAAGCCTGACTAGAATTTGGACTTCAAAGGGGGACTTGAGATAAGACTATTGCCTAATCATCTCAAGTCTGAGGAGAAGTAAACAAGGCTCAGGAAAGAAGAATGTATCTGTGTTAAGAATCCGCCCTAGCTGAGTTCAGTGGGTGGTGGAAGAGAAGGGTTTTGAGTGTATGATGGTGAAATCTCCCCACACCAAACCAAAGGAGTAACCCTTCCCCCTTCCCCGGTGTATTGGGTCTGGCTGAGCTGGAGTTCATTTCCCCATAGTAGCCCTCACAGTGTTGTGCTTTGCATTGGCAGCTAGAAGGGTGTTGATAACACACTGGTGTTTTGGCTACTGCTGAGCACAGCATCAGCACTGTAACATTCCTTCCTCAGTTGAGGGCCAGATCCTGGGAGGGGACCCAAGTAGGCCAGCTGACCCAAACTGACCAAAGGGATCTTTCATACCATATGACATCAGTTCAGATATAAAAGCTGAGGCAAGGAGCAGGAAGGCAGGCATTCATTGTCTCCAATGGCTGCCTGCTGAGAAACCATCATGCATACCGAAGCCCTGCTTCTTGGAAGTGGCCGATCATCGCTGCTCATGGGAAGTAGAGAATAAATCGTGTTATCTTTTGCTTTGTTTTGCTTTTGTGCATGCAAGCTTCTCCTTTGCTTTTTGCTTTAAATAAACTGCCTTATCCCAATCCACGAGTTGTGTTTTTCCACCTTACTCTCTCCCCTGTCCAACTGGGAAGAGGAGTGTGATAGAGCAGCTGGGTGGGCACCTGGCATCCAGCCAAGGTCAACCCACCATGCCCGGGAAGGCCACATGGGACATTCATGTGAGAGGCAGCTGAGAAGGGGTCATAAACCATCAAAGACCCCCAAAGCGCCCCCACCCCCCCATTCCTGAGGCCGCCTACCACCAGAGGACTGCACGTGATCTAAGTGAGGCAACAAATCCAGAACCTGTCACAAGAGACTGCAAAGCTTCCCCCCCCCCCCAGGGGAGGTGCCTGGCATCTCCTGAATGTATATTAATGCATTGAACTCAAAGTTTTGCGGGACCCTTACCACCAAGAAGACCAGAAGAACTGGACAGATGAGATGCCACCAAGTTACACGGAGTGGTGATAGATTTCCTATTTTAATCTCTCTCTGTCACTTTCTTTCCCCCCCTCCTTTTCCTATTTCTTTCTATCTCTCTCTCTACCTCACATTTACCATTAAATCAAACCCATACTATTGACTTTGGCATCTGGTCTTGTTTGCACCTTAATTCGGGCAGAGGTATTTCTAATAATTTTAATGACCAGATCATAACAAGCGTCAGGAGAGTAAGCCACAGACTTGTTCCCAAGAGGTACTTTTATTGATAATTTAGGGGAGAAAATAGAGGAACTTAGCAAAAGTTCAAAAGGGCACCACACAAGCTAGACAAACCATTCCACCACAGTATTGACCCAGCACATACTAATCCACAACACTTAAGTCAAAATCCAATCCCTCCAGCTTTAAGCTACCCAAAGCATCAAGAAAGGAGCAAAGAAAGAGAAGAAGAGGGAGCAAGAAGAGAAAAGAAGGAGAAAGAGGGAGAGACAGATTATATAGATACCATTGGAACCTTGTGGAAGACCAGCTCTCATACGTCCAGATGGCAGGGCTGTGACCATGTGGTGAGCATATGCCTTTGGTTTTATCTGCTCTGGTCCTTGTGGCCACCCTCCCACAGGCAGGGCTTCTGACCCACTGGCTGCTTGGGGGCCCCAGGCCAGGGTGAGGGGCAGCATTCTCACTGTCCCTGCCAATCTGAGGCTGGTTTAGGGGCTCCAGGAGGTGTGGTGTGTTGAAGTTTTCCCAGGCTGCTTTTGACTGACTGCTGCTCTGGGGCTTCCCCGTGTGGGCTCCGGGGTCTGCCATGAGGGATATGACACCACCTCACCTCCATGAGGTTCGACCTATCCCCTTCCCCTCCACACACACACATACACACACCCTTACCCCCCCCCCTCCCCCCCGGTGATTCTGACCCAATAATTACTGATCTGGTGTCTAACACCAGGGAACTACCATCCACTCAGCCTCATCTCAATCCCTGGAAAGGTGATGGAGTGCCTTATCCTGGAGGCCATCTCTACCCCCATGGATGACAAGAAGGTGATCAGGAGTAGTCAGCAGGCATTCACTAAAGGGAAATCATGCTTGACCAACCTGATTGCCTTCTACGACGAGACAACTACCTGGATGGATAATGGGAGAGCAGTGGATATTGTCTACCTCGACATCAGCAAGGCTTTTGACACTGTCTCTCACAACATCCTCATAGGCAAACTCAGGAAGCATGGACTGGATGAGTGGATGGTGAGGTAGATTGAGAACTGGCTGAAAGGCAGATCCCAGAATGTTGTGATCAGTGGCACGGGGTCTAGTTGGAGGCCTGTAACTAGCAGGGTCCCCCAAGGTTCAATACTGGGTCCAGTATTATTTAACTTGTTCATCAATTACTTGTACAGAGGGAGAAAGTGCCTCCTCAGCAAGTTCGCTGGCAATGCAAAGCTGAGAGGAGTGGCCAATATCCCAGAGTGCTGTGCAGCTCTTTAAAAGGATCTTGGCAGGTTGGAGAGATGGGCAGAGAGGAACCTTCTGAAATTCAATAAAGGCAAGTGCAGGGTCCTGCACCTGGGGAAGAACAACTCCATGCACCAGTACAGGCTGGGGGCTGACCTGCTGGAAAACAACCCTGTGGAGAAGAACCTGGGGGTCCTGGTGGACAAGAAGTTGTCCATGAGTCAGAAATGTGCCCTTGTGGCCAAGAAGGCCAACAGAATCCTGGGATGCATTAGGAAGAGCATCGCCAGCAGGTTGAGGGAGGTTATCCTGCCCCTCTATACTCAGCCCTGGTAAGGTCACATGTGTAAGTACTATGTCCAGTTCTGGGCTCTGCAGTATGAGACAGACATGGAGCTCCTGGCGCAAGTACAGTGGAGGGCTACTAAGATGATTAGGGACTGGAGCACGACTCTTAAGAGGATAGGCTGAGGGAGCTGGGCCTGATTAGCCTCAAGAAGAGAAGACTGAGAGGGGATCTTATAAAACTTAATTTTCTTTTATGACAAGGTAACCCACCTAATTGACAAAGGGAAGCCAGTTGATGCAATATTTTTGGATTTCAGTAAAGCTTTTGATACTGTCTCTCACACTACAAATGGACAAAATGTCCAGCACACAGTTGGATAAACACATGCGATGGGTGAGCAACTGGCTGATGGGTTGGGCACAAAGAGTTATAGTAAATGTGGTTACATCAGGCTGGCGATCTGTCACTAGTGGGATACTGCAGGGCTCCATCTTAGGGCCAGTTCTCTTCAACATCTTCATAAACAACTTGGATGCAGGACTCAAAGGTATACTAAGTAAATTTGTCAATGATACTAAATTGGGAGTATCTGTTGACTCCCTTGAAGGCAGAGAGGCCCTACAGAGAGACCTGGACAAATTAGAGGGCTGGGAATCACCAACCACATGAAGTTCAACAAAGCCAAGTGCCGGATTCTACATCTGGGATGGGGCAACCCTGGATGTTACAGGACATACTGGGGAATGAAGTGCTGGAGAGCAGTGCCATGGAAAGGGACCTGGGGGTTCTGGTCGACGGCAAGTTGAATATGAATCAGCAGTGTGCCCTGGCAGCCAGGAGGGCTAATCGTGTCCTGGAGTGCATCAGGCACAGTATCGTCAGCCGGTCGAGGGAGGTGATTATCCGGCTCTACTCCACGCTGATGAGGCCTCACCTCAAGTACTGCATGCAGTTTTGGGTGCCACAATATAAGAAAGATATATAGCTATTAGAAAATGTCCAAAGAAGGGCAACGAAGATGGTGAAGGGCCTAGAGGGGAAGCCGTATGAGGAGTGACTGAGGTCACTTGGTTGGTTCAGCCCAGAGGAGACTGAGGGGAGACCTCATAGCAGTCTACAGCTTCCTCATGAGGGGAAGCAGAGGGGCAGGCACTGATCTCTTTTCTCTGGTGACCAGTAATAGGACTCAAGGGAAAGGCACGAAGCTGTGTCAGGGGAGGTTTGGGTTGAATATTAGGAAAAGGTTTTGTACCCAGAAGGTTGTCAGACACTGGAACAGGCTCCCCAGGGAAGTGGTCACAGCACCAAGCCTGCCAGAGTTCAAGAGGCACTTGGACAATGCTCTCAGGTACATGGTGTGATTCTTGGGGTGGTCCTGTGGACAGCCAGGAGTTGGACTTCGATGATCCTTGTGAGTCCCTTCAAACCCAGGATATTCTATGATTCTATGATAATGTATATAAGTATATGAAGGGTGGGTGCCAAGAGGATGGAACCAGGCTCT